TTATCAGACGTGGCGTACGTATAGAAAACTGTGCAGTTTTATAACATACACGCTACGATTTATCGGTACCGTTCGGACGGTACAGTCTAATCGTAACGATTTCTCGTAGTGTGTATGGCTGGTATTATAAAACTGCACAGTTTCCTACGATTTTTGAAGACTGTGCAGTCGAACGGAGCAATACGAAAATTTCAATTGATTTATCGGAATCTGATGAACTGTACCGACTAATCGTAATGTGTATGCGCTCGTTCAGTTTTCGTGTTCAGTTTTGTCGTCAGTTGCAGTTCGGGTAGACGTATTCAGTAGATGTATGTATTATGATCTATTCTTAAAAAAATATGCCAGTCTTTTTGAAACATCTTTAATTCCGACAACAAATTGACATGAGAATGAACACTTCTTTTCATTAGCCATTCTTTGCACCAGATGCTACGATTTTTTTGCTTCACTTTATTTTTCTTCAGGGCGAATATTAATTCAACAACTGCTAAAACGTCGTCCGTCGAAGCCATCGCTGACACATGTGCGTCGGCGCCGTTTATTGTACCGTCTGATCGTAACGATTTCTCGTAGCGTGTATGACTTACACCCGTATTCATAAACATTACTATGAGGTCTCACAGGGTGCGTTAACGCACAGGGTCCGAAAAACCTATTCATAGACAATACTTGAGTGGCGACCGGCACTATGCGTCCCTTATAATGAACGCACAGCCAAGGTAGCCTGCTAGCTGTATTACGCAACGCATAGTGCCTATTGTTCTTTTCTTTTTGACTTCGTCAAAATTTTAGGTTATTTGCGTTGACTGTTATTTGCTGTTCGAGGTTTGTTTTTTCTTTGTTTGCGGCTGTATTCGAAAATAATAGCGTTCTTTTACAATGGATTACAGTAGTGAAGAAGAATTTGATAATTATATCAATGAGCAAAACAGAATAAGTACCAGAAAAATGATACGATATTTCCAAAATCCTTTTGATTATTACAGTTCAGAAGAATTTAGACGACGCTACAATCTAATTAATTATTATTACCACGAAACACAAAATAGCTCTCAAGCACTGTTTGGTATTAAAAAGGTTATGAATTATGACAATTGACAAATGATAGACATGTCATTCAGAGCGGTGAGAAATACGTAACATAAACGAACCAATCGCAGAACTCTATTTAACGCTGTGCGTTCTCATAGCGAAGAGTCATTTGAGTATTGTTTATGAATTGAAAGGCTTGCCAAGTAAAACGCACTGAGAAATGTCTTACTTCGCACAGTGTTGCTACTTTACTTAAACAAGTATTGTTTGTGAATACGGATGTTAGGCCCGGCGCCCATTATCGGCATCGGCAAGGATAAGGATTTTGGGTGGCAAATAGCAATATACTATAACTTCATGGCAATAAAGTAGAAATTTCAGTGATATGTGGTCGTAATAATAAAAATACCGCTTCGGTATGCTTGAGGCTGCTGTATCGGCAGCCTTTAGAATGCTTCGGCATCCTTCGGTACGCCGCCGGGGCGGCCATTTGCATCATTTGACTCACACATTTCACACAACACAATTGAGGTAATCGCTGTATGTATCGGTTGTTTGCTGTCACATCGAATGTCATGGCGGAAGAAAAGCTTATAAATTTAGTTCGTCTACATGAGTGTTTATACAATATAAAATCGCGTCACTACAGTGACCAACACATGAAACAAAATGCGTGGGCGCAAATCGCCAAAGAACTCAATAAAACACGTAAGTAAGCATCGTATATTTATTGAGTTATAATAAGTACCATCAATATGATAATGATTAATTACATTGACTTATAGATTGTTAGTATTTTATGATCTATTGACAATATTATTCTGCCAACTAACTGACCCATGTTCAGAGTTAAAATATTGTTTGAATTGATCTCTAACGACCATACCCTCGCACATGATAATATCGTCATCGCCTACTACATTGTTATCTACGGAACCTTCTAAAATATCACTTTCCTGTAGTGGGTTTGGAAGTTCCGTCGTTGCATTGTTAATGATGTAATTATGTAAAGAACAGCAGGCTAAAATGATGTTATCTATATATTTTGCTTGTACTTGCATTCTCCTCTGAAATATTTCAAACCTTGATTGAAATAATGCCAAAAGCACTCTCCACGATACGCCTTGCTCGACTTAGTCTGTAATTAAATACTCTTTTCTCTATATTTGCCAATTGATTCGCAGGGTACGGTCTCATTATATTTTTCGTTAGTGGAAATGCTTCATCAGCAACAAAAACATAGGGTAATTCTTTCGTTATTCCTCGTAAGCTCACATTTTGAGGAATATTTAATGTGTCGTTTTGCAATTTTAAACCCAATTTTGAATGATCTAATATACCACCGTCGCTATTTCTACCATAAGCACCTACATCGACAATGACAAATCTATATTTAGCATCTGCTACAGCCAGCAGAACGATACTAAAAAAATTTTTATAATTAAAATACATACTTCCACTATTATTTGGAGCTCGTATCTTGAAGTGCTTGCCATCCATGGCACCAATACAATTTGGAAAATTCCATATTTCATCAAAGTTTAGCAATTATCTTCCATTGTGCTGTTGTTGGTTTTGGCAGAACGACACGGCCAAGGATATTCCAGATTGCACGGCAGGTTTCATGGACTATACAAAGAACTGTACTAAATCCCATTCGGTAATTGAATGCTAAAGTTTTGAAACTGACTCCTGTTATTAAAAACCTGAAAAGAAACATTATATTTTTAAATATAGCTTAGGTACCTATTAATATTATTAAAAATATTTATGTAATACCAATTTTAAAAGTATTATAATTTTGAAAATTTAGAATAAATATACCTAGGCACTTTTGATAATCATATTTTAAATCATACAATACGGAATACGAAACATTATACATAATATCACCTGTGTTGCGGGTGCCGGACACATACGTTTAACTAACAAACCATTCATTTATATGTTTATTATATTATTTTCAGCTCAAGAATGTCTCAAGATGTGGACTAATATCAGAAACAACTATCGAAAAGCGATGAAAAATAGAATAAGCAAAAGTGGTGATTCTGCAAAGCCACAAAGGCCTATAAAACACGAAAGAGAACTCGAATTCTTGAATACATTTTTACAAAATAGAGCGTAGGTATCTAATTTAGATTCTTCTTCCGAGGAGACACTAGATTCTTTCTTGGATTCTCCTCAATCACGGCCACAATCACAAACGTCACATTCAGATTCTCAAACGTCGCGTCCTCGATCACAAAACATAACCACAGCTGAGATATTAAAAGAATATATAGATTCTAAAAATAACGAAGATGAACATCCTGTAGATATATTTTTTAAATCAATGTCTGATACGGTAAAATCTTTACCGAAAAAGTTGCAACTTCAAGTTAAAAGAGATGTATTGTTTCTTGTTAATAAGGCAGAAATCGAATATTCAGAACTATCAGAAGCACCACAGAATATTGAAACTACAAGATCTATTTATGAACCATCCACATCGAAACAAAAACCTCCTGTGAATCAATCAAACTACACCATGGACGATTTTTCTTACTACACACCCCAAGTAACATCCGTAAATAACGAGGACAACATACAATCAACATTGACATATACTCCGACACCCATACTTAGATGCCAAGACGAAAACATTGAAACCAGTGATTACCAGAATATTGAAACCAATGATTACCAGAATTTGTATTTTTTTTTTAACATTTTATTTTTTACCTGCAGCAAAGCTAATGTGATTAAAAATAAAGATATGATTCGAATGTCAACAACAATCGCTCCACGACGACAGTCCTATGACCGGCATAGCAAGAAATATAGATTCAGACGACATAGTAATGCAGTCTGCGATCTGAAGTCACCATTCGAATCATACCTGTACGAGTATATGTGAATTAAAAAATAATAAATATGATTAAACTTATTAAAGTATTTTTATTACTCACCTCAAGCACACAGACAATCTTTCTTCAACAGGTATAGATGAGCGAAATCTTGATTGTTTTTTCTCCATGTAAGGTCGAAGCAAATGAACCAAACTTTCAAAATTTTCATAACTCATTCTATAATAATCATAAAATTTTCGAACGTCATAACGCAAATCATTGAATAAATTATTGAATTCACCGGACATATATCGTTGCTTCCAAAGGTTGTTCACCCAAAATCTTCTTGATTGATTAGATTTCTCTTCTTCTTCAGCAAGAGTTGCTATGAACACTAGGTCCCAGTCCACCATATTAAATACAATTCAGACAACTAGCTTGTAACAACTCTGAGACTGTTATGATGAGAAATAAATACGATATTGAGACGCTTCGCTTCAAGCTACAGGACGGTGCGGCATCCTTAAGGACGCCTCGTCATCCCTAAGAACGTTGCAGCATGCCAAAGCATAATTGCCGATAGTGTGCGCTTGCATGTAGGATGCCGAAGGATCCTTATCCTTGCCGATGCTGATAATGGGCGCCGGGCCTTATATGCCATGTGCGTCGGCGCCGTTTATTGTACCGTCTGATCGTAACGATTTCTCGTAGTGTGTATGGCTACCATAAGAGAAAGCAGTGCGCGCGCACATTTTGTTTCTCTCTTTCTCATACAGCTAGTAAATGAAATATGTATATGTACATACACACATACAATATATATATATACAAACAGATGGAGCTAAAGTTTTACTTCAGTCGTGTGGTCACAAGCACACTCGTTTTTGTTTTCTGTCCTTTTTTCCGACGTATATATTAAATAAATATTTAAGATAACGTTTGTACATAATAACTAATCACTCTTGAATACCTATTTGTTCACTTTATGTAATATGTAAACATGTCGTCGGACAGCACCTTTAGAAAATACATTACCTAATTTTATTTATTTATTCTATATTTAACGCTGTAAAACTGTAGTTATGTAGGTGTAAGGGCTTATAGTAACGTGCATAGTCAAATAAAACAAAAAAATATAAAAAATATTTATTTAACAAAGATATGGAAAACCTTACACATTCTTTTTTAGGTACCTACTTACTTATATATAAGAATAGTTCTTTGCTGCCTTGTCAGTTACCGTGCGTCAAAAACGACCACTGAAGTTCATGTTAAGAAAAAAAATGTAATGTCTTGCGAAGTATCTAAGTATACGATAGGTATAAATAATAAATTTAAGTATTTTGTTTCCAGCAGACCATCAGCGTGTATGGAAATATTGCTGCCAGAATTCACTTCATATAATATATGTAGCTATGTCTATCATATCGTTCCAAACGCTGATAATCCGTTGCAAACATTCGTAATGTTGTTATGCCGGCACTTCACTTGACATCAGCCTGCCCTTTTCATTCCTTATAAAGCATGATAAAGGCAGACTGTTATCAAGTCTACATCAGCGTTGCCAGTTTATATTTGTCAAGTCGGGATTTAGGAACTTTTTGAGTGAAAAAGCGCGATTCTTTCGTCAAAAGCGGGACATAGTAAAAAAACGTATATATATTTGTTTCTTAGGTTTTCACGCACACCACTCATTAAATAAAACTAGTTTTTACGGGTTAATGCACGAAACTTTATTTATTTATTGACGTTAAAAACTAGTTTTATTTAAAACGTATATAATCAAAAGTTTTTGAATATTTATCTTTTTCTTTGAGTTCAAATTACGTTTACGTGACAATAGATAGGTACCTAGTAAAAATATCAATGGAAATTGTATTTTAATAAAAATATGATATTTTAAATCCGATTTACCCTATCGTTAAATAGTTGATTCTTTGTTTGAGAGTTCTTCATTACGCGCCGGGCCACGCGAGGTCGAAACGCTGGATTGTTGCCTGTCCGCGCGGGACATTTAATTTTGATTTATAAATGTGATCTCCATACATTAATTAGGAGCTATTCATTTATTACGTAAGTTGATTAGGAGGGAGGGGGGTTGACCATGTCTTATTTTTTCTTACAAGGGGGTGGGAGGTAGTCTCGATAGTTCTTAAGTAAGATCACAAAAATGAGCATTCAAAATTGTACTTTGAAAAAGTGCGGACAACCGCGCGAGTGCCGAGGTTCGTTCGGATGCGTATAGGTAAACGATTTCCATTTCCATGGCAACGGACCCACGCCACCCGCTATAGTGGTTAAAGGTAAATATGTATGATTAAAACCAAAGTTTATTACTACCAAAACATTTCTGAAATTTTGAAAAACAAACATCAAAACAAACGTGTTTTCATTTTTTCCTATAGATTCTTACGTTATAAATATTAAGGGGGGGGGGGGAATCTTGTGTGTCTTGGAAGTGTCTTACATAATTAATCAATGGCCCCTTAAGTTAATAGCACACCATACAAAAAGTTAAATAAAATGAATTATACTATAACAAAAGCTAGGTCATAACAGGCGGCCTTAACGCTACGGCGGCGTTTACGATAACCCCTTCCACACAACCCATTATGAAAAATAATATTAAAGGAGGGGATATTAAGGACAGAGAGGAGTACAAAAATGTATCAATATACCTCAAGGAAGCAATAACAGTAGCAATAAGAATGCTTTAAAGTAAGGGGAAAAGTAATTACGTTAATATAAAACAAACCAAAAATTTAATTTTTTAAAGAAAATATAGCTATGTTTACTGTACCGCCTTAATTTTAAATTATATCATTCATAAACACCATCAGCCTGCGTCAGTCCACTGCTGGACATAAGTTTCTCCCAAGGCACCGCCATTGAGTTCGGTTTTCAGCTCTCCTCATTAAGTTATTGCCCGCTACCTTTCAGGTCTAGTTGCAGGGAATTTCATCCTAGGTTTACCGATTCGCGGTCTCCACTGCCAGGACCAATCTCTTTTACGTCACATATGACTAGCCCACTACCACTTGAGCTTGCCGACTTGTTGACCGACCCTAATTTAGTAGACTATTCCTACCGTTAGTGGTCACATCTCGGTTCTGTACGTCATCACCGCGTGTATAACTTTCGCTTAATCTCTCAGTCGAAGCGGTTTTCTAGTTGTAGTGTTTGCGCCAGGTATACATATTAAGAAACAACCTCGAGCGAGACACTGGTTTATTGCGACCGGTCCACATTGTACATAAACGTAAGCTTGGTTTTATACAGGTAAGAGAAGCAGAAAGATTTGATAGTTCGGTTACATTTGTTACAAGTTGCAACTCAAGAATCGACTCGACATGATAACGATTTTGTCATCTTGATATAATACTAGTCGAATTTTCATCGTTATATGGGGTCTAACGCAGAACAAGTTTTATCCGTGCTGTGACGGACCACCCCTTCACTTCCGGGTGTCGTAAGAAGCGACTGAGCGATATGGGAGCTTCCATCCGCTCTTTTGGTGGTAGGGTGCCTAACAACCGCTTGGTTTGTTTGCACCGTACGCATGGTGAAAAACCCGTGAAGTGCTTCACGCGCGTTTCAGGGTCAGCCAGCGTACTACCAAAGCTTGAGTGGGAATTGCCGCGACGGATTCGGTCCAGTGGAGGCATCCGTCGAACCGATGCCGGGAGGACTGCATCGACCCACAGGCCAAGGAGACCCGCAGAAACAGTTGTCTTGCTGGCCGCCCGTGGCACAGTACAGGGGCCCGAACGTTCTTAACCAGTTCGCGAGGCTGCCCAATCATGTCACGCATAATCTCGGGGTGGACCGTGGTGCAAGTTGATGACCAGGTAGGTCGGCGTGTCTATTTCTTAGGCAGTTACTTGGTATATTTGCCTGACTTTGTCGCGACTCCACTCGATTCACGTCTCTCAATTTTTTCCCATGATGGCAGCCCGCAAAACAAAGTTTGGTTGTACAGCGGTGCAAGGCTGCAAGCCCCCACGCCTTCCGCGCTGTTTGTGGTCGAGTTCTGCAATATACGCGGACTCCACTCTAATCTCAATGCTGTCCACAACTTTTAAACATTTTTGTTTCTAACGGAGACTAAATTACTTCCGCCCACTGACACAGGCTACCTAAACTATTCCGGCTACGTGCTTGAAGAATCCTTCAAAGCGAAAGCCGGTGTATGCCTGTATGTTCGGATGGATTATTGTTACCTCCGTTTGAGCTGCCTGAAAGTCCCCCCCTTCTCCGTGTTGGCGGTACATGTAGACTCTGGTCCTTTGGCCAGAGTCTACGTGTGCCTCTACCGATCCCACACTGGCGACGCTGAAACAACTCGACTCTTTGACCATCTAAGTCGGGTAGCAGATGATGCCCAGGCGCATTTTCCCAACACAGAACTGGTGTTTTTGGGGGACTTCAACGCCCACCACAGTTTGGGCTCCTCCAAAACTGACCATGCATAGATCTCTGCCCATGTATTAGCTCTCACGCAAGACTTAATACAACTGGTCGATCAGCCCACCAGGATCCTAGATATAGCAAGTCAAGCGCCTTCCTTACGAGACCTTCTGCTTACGACTCATCCGCAGGAGTATCAGGTTATGGTTCGAGCCCCACTGGGTTCATCAGATCATTGCCTGATATCTGCCAAGGTGCCACAGGTGAAAACCCCTCGACCATTGGTGGTCAAACGCAGGGTCTAGCACTATGGGTCGGCAGATTGGTAAGGTATGCGCGACTACTTTGCGTCCGTCCCTTAGAAGCAGTGCTGCTTCAGTGAAAAGGACCTATCGGCCAGCGCCGTTGCTATTACTGAGGAGATCGTAATGGGAATGGATTATCACATTCCACATTCTGATATCATCAGTAAGGGCACACGTAACTGCTGGTTCAATTGCGACTGTGCTGATGCTGTTTCACGTAAGCAGGCGGCATATCGCGTTTGGATCAGAGGCCGCGCTCTTAAGGATCCCGGGGTTGACTCACTGAGGTCGCAACGTAGTGTTGTGGCCTCGTCCTAATTAAAAATGTGTAATTAACAAAGTGTACATATGTTGTGACAGGAGAATGTTAGGATATTGTAATAAACTTGTCACCATTTAAGTAAGTTTTCCGTTCAACAAAACAAACACTTAAAATTTGTGGTTGCACATACAATGAAAATTTCACCTGATTATCCAAAATTTACACCATAGAAATTAAGATACCTAAACATTTTTGAAACAGTGTGTCATCCATTAAAGGACTGGTTTTTATTCATTTTGGTCAATAATGTGAAGAATTTTGATAAAAACAGTGGCAACTGTAGCCACATTTGTGGTTGATGTGGCAAATCAGCCTGAGAAGCTCTTATTCATACCCACCTTCATAGTGATACAGTTTTGAAATGGCTCATATTTAAATGATCATCAAAAAAATTGTGATTGAAGTAACCTAACCTAATCATTAGGTTATCAATTGTATGTTTTGTGATCATTTATTATTTTTTGAGAATTCTTTAAATATTTTTATAATTAATAATGTGGATTAAAAAGAAGCATGTAGGTGCTTTATGGTTATATAATTAAGGTGCAGTCAATGATATTAAATACCCTGGATACACCACATGCGCTCAAAATGTGTCCCAATCAAGAAGTGCAAATTTTGTTGTAATACTTATTATACTGATTTAATAGAAAATATTTGCGATATTCAAATGTATGGTCAGCAAATTTATAGCCGTCTCTTTTCCTCGCAGTCCGTACCTGCTATATTGGTAACGCATTCAGAATTGCGCGTAGATTCAAAGAACTGAGGTCTATATTCGTCCATTTATAACAATAAGTTGTAAAATTTTAGGAGCTTTCATTTTGAACTCTCTGACGCATGCATTTTAATTAAGACCTTAAACAGTATGCATTAAAGCTGACTTTTAATGTTAATGTAATGCCTTATATTGTTTTAGACTTCGCAATCATGTTATGGAGCTCCGCAGATCACCCAATGTACCTTTTGGACAAGTTTCAGCCAAAATTTTGTTTGAGACGTTGTATCTTAGGTATTTAATATGGTTGGGTGGAGTATATTTCGTTACCATTAATTAAAACTTACCATAGTGTACTACATTAAAATAAAAAAAAAGCTATCTTTATTATGTTTAAGAAACTTACCCTTTGCTTTGAATATATGTAAAATGCAAAAATTACTTGGATGATAGCTTAAGAAAGCACTTTAAACAAAGCAGTAACAAAATAATGGATGGCCATGCACAGAACACAAAAAATAATAGAAACAAGAATTTAAAAAAGGATACACCTTTTTGTTCGTTTCTTGTACATAATACGATATCCACACTCTCTGCATCTGATAGGATCTCTTGGTTTGATTTCATTCTCTCTATGGCACTCTGTAAATAGTACAAACAAATTATTAAAATTACTTTTTCCTTACTGAGGATCAGAAAGATAAAGCTATTTTTATGATGAAATACTGATCAAACACACAACAACACTTTTTGCACAATCCGATGATGTTTATTTGTATAAAGGTTTATTTATCAATGATAAGAATTGGCACTAGCAACAGAAATAGTTTTTCCACAAAGAACCAAGAGTACAGTTAAAAATTGTGTACATCAATAAATTTGTTTTCAAGATGATGGCTAGGTTATTTATTAGTACACCATACATGCATACTTGCGCTTAGGATCATATGGAAGTATAGTAAAAATATCATCAAAAAAAAATAGTACTGTACTTCCAGGGCCCAAGTGGTGATATTTCACACTAGGTTAGGTTAGGTTAGTGTTGTGAAAAAAAATCTATTAAAAAATACCTTTTCTACAAAAAAAAACAACAATCACCTTTTGGGCCCTGGAAGTACAGTTTTACCGAAAATAATCCTCATTCATGTCTCATTTACCTCCACAAACATATATCATTGGAACTTTGGTTACAGATTGCTCTCGGGTTGCTGCGTCTGCCATCGCGTAATATTATTCTTGTAGCACGAACAGACTATACACGTAATCCTCTAGAGGCCTGATTTGATTTGGTAGAGGAGCCCTTGGAATGAATTTAGGAATTCCGAAAGAAATCACAGATCATTAACCTAGCAAGTAGTTTTTTTTTTTTGGTTCTGTTCTTTCCGTTCATTAAACGGAAAAGGCAAAGACGACAAAATGCGCCATACAGCCAAGACTAAAAGTTCTTTTCTTCAAGTCTTCATAAGGAATAATTCGAAATCCAAGTTTAAATATCTTCTATAGTACTCTTGATGTAATTATACAGTGCCAAATAACATTGTGGGTTTTGGACAAGTACAGGTAAGGAACGCGGGATGTTCTCGGCTGAATTGTAGATTTCAAGCAAACTATTACTGAGAAATATTCGTTGAAGAGCAAAATGAGGGCATTCGAGGAACAAATGATGAAGTGACTGACTTGAGAAGCTGCAGAACGAGCATGATGGGGAGGAGACCATGTTCATTCTGAATAAATGTTCGTTAAAGCGTCCATGCCCGAGTCGCAGTCTACATATTGTAGTGTAAAATTTTCGGTGAATAAAATTTCTCTGAGCAAACCACGGCTTTCTGATTGTATCATTAATATTATGATACCAAACACCTTTAGTTTGTAAAGTTTCATGCCAATGATCTAACCATGTCTTCTTTATTTTGTCTTTTAGAATTTCTACACAATCAGAATCAGGAATCTTTATGTTTTTCACAGGGACAGTATCAGCCGTGTTAGTTATAATCTTTGCCAGTGTATCTACTTCTTCATTACCGTAAACGCCTATATGTGATGGAGTCCAAAACAAAATGATGTCTTTTCCGTTTGTTGTTGTTGAGGAAGTGGATCGTAGAAAGGAAAGACAATCAGCTCGTAATATTTAGTTTATGTAGTCCCAATCACATTACATTTTTTTAGGTATACACCGTTGACGTATTTGCAAAAGTCCTAGAATGAAGTAACGGTGACATAGAGAACAGGCCATCGAGTCGCGCTAACAAGAAGGTTTTACATAAAATCATAACTTCAACACACCTCCTTGATTTTATAGAAAACAACAAAAACAACTTAATACCAATATAACAACTTAACATAATAAATAAATCACTTAACAAAAGACTATCTGTCATTAACATTTCATTTGACATTTGCCAGTTCTCTAAGTTTTATAAATTTATTTTTTCCTAATGCCTTGGTCAATATATCCGCTAATTGTTTTTCTGTATGAACCTTTACTATATTAATAATACCCTTTTTCTCATAGTCATATACGAAGTGGTAGCTTATGTCAATATGCTTAGAATTTTTACAAAACTTTCCGTTCTTTGACAACGCAATAGCCCCGCTGTTGTCTTCGTAAATTTTTACTGGATCCCTAATCTCAACGCCTAAATCGCGTAACACACCTATTAACGGAAGTACTTCTTCAACACAGTCTGCCAAAGCATAATACTCGGCATGAGTTGATGCTCTTGACACTATTTTCTGTTTATGTGACTTCCACATGATCGGATTATTAAAAACTCTTATAAGGATTCCTGTCGTCGACTTCCTATCCGATTTATCTGCGGCCCAATCAGCATCTACATAAGCGTCCAATTGTTCTTTGTAGTCGGCGTCAAAATTCATCTTTAAATGTCTCGTACAGTAAAGATATTTGAGAACTCGCAAGGCATATTTGAAATGAGTATCACTATAAGCATTTTGGAAACGACTCAAATAGTTTACGCTATAAGATACGTCTGGCCGTGTTCCACTCGCAACATACAGAAGAGCTCCAATCAAGTTTCTATACTTTAACGTTGCACTGACATCTTGACTTGGATCAATGCTTAAATTCATTTCCATTGGTGTCTCAAAGTTCTTTGATTCGATTACGTTATACTTTTCAGCTAAACTTACAATGTATTTTTCCTGGCTTAAAGTCATTCTGCCTTCTTTTGGTTCAAAAACTACATCTATTCCAAGATACTGTTTCACCTTTCCCAGATCTTTCATTCGGAATCTATTGTGCAATAGCCGTTTAACTTCGTCAATTGCCTCATTTTTCTCCCCACAAATCAAAATATCATCCACATACAGACATAGATATATATTTACATTATTTACACACCCTGTATACAAACAATAGTCATAGTCTGACCTATTGAAATTAATGCTTGACATGAATTCGTGAAAGCATTCATACCAATCACGTGGGCTTTCTCGCAATCCATAAAGAGCTTTTTGTAGTTTGCACACTTTATTATTCTCTGTACAATATCCATCAGGTGGGTAAATATAAACTTCAGACTTAATACTCCCATTCAAGAATGCTGTCTCAACGTCCATTTGTTCAATGTTCCATCCTCTTACACATGCAATTGATAATAAAGCTTTCATTGTCGTCATTCGCGCTACTGGTGAATAAATTTCCTCGTTTTCTTCATACATCTGTTGGAAACCTCGTGCGACTACTCTTGCCTTATACTTTCCATTCGACTTGATCCTAAAGATCCATTTAACATCTATTATTTTCTTATTTTCAGGTCTCTCAACTAAAATCCACGTTTCGTTCTTTTCCAAACTGTTCAATTCCTCTTTCATTGCATCTTTCCATTTATTTACATCCGGACTTTTTATTGCTTCATCATACGTATCTGGTACCAGTGCATCACTAAAATTTATATATACAACATGATCTTTATATTTCTCTGGCATTTTTCTATCTCTTTTTGGTCGGATATCCGTCACCTCCTCAGTCACAGCTCTACTTGATTTATCCTTTGAGTCATCAACACTATCATAAAATTCTTCGTTTTCATCAGTTTCATCTTCAGTATTTACTATCTTTATTATGTGTTCTTCTTTCGTATCTATAAATGTAACGTGACGACTAATGACTATTTTTTCATTTATTAATACTCTGTATCCCGTATCTGTGTATCCTACTAATATACCTTTTGTAGCCTTTGGGTTAAGTTTTGATGTGCGTAATTCGTCTGGAATTCGTACATAACACTGTGATCCGAAAATTTTTAAATTACTTACATTTGGCTTCCTCCCCATAAAAATTTCGTACGGCGTTTTTTTCTCATACGTATTTGTTAATATTCTATTACCTAGATATGCTGCAGTCATTACGCATTCAGGCCAATATTTCTTATTTATCTTTGCTTCTGTAAGCAGACATCTCGCTCTCTCCATTATGGTTCGGTTAAATCTTTCAGCTACACCGTTCAACTCGTGTGTATAAGCTGGCCCTGGTTTTAAATAAATACCTTTTTGCTTTGTGTAAGTGTAGAAATCGTTGTTAATATATTCTCCGCCATTGTCACATCTGATTTCTTTCACTCTCTTACCTGTTTGATTTTCCACCATATTTACATAATCTCTAAAACAATTCAAAACATCACTCTTGTTATTAATTAAGCATAGATAAGCTAACCTACTATAGTCATCTATGAATGACACAAAGTATCGTTGCCCCTTATATCCAGTGGGCGTAATCGGGCCTGCCACATCCGTGTGGATAATCTCTAACAAGTCTGTTGCCCGTCGTCTTTGATTTCCAAAAGGTAGATTTGTCATTTTGTTCATCAAACAAACTTCACATTGCACGTAACCCTCGCCTAAAGTGATAGGTAACCCATCTACAACCCTATGCCTGCACATTTCATTTAGTTTCTTAAAGTTAGGGTGCCCAAGTATTCTATGCCATTTTTCTTTTTCTGACATAATGTTACCACTTGTGTATGCTACTGTACCTGCACCTAAATTAACTCTGCCACCTAATTCGTACAATTTATTTTTCTTGCGTGCGACGGCCATTAAACCTATATATACATTATATATATTTGCTATTTCTCCTCTAAATTGAATTGTATTATTTCTATTTACAATGCATGAAACGCTTAATAAGTTCTTTTTCATATTTGGAACATAATATACATTGGAAACATCAATTTTATTTGACTTACCTCCTGCTTTACAGTACATTGTTACATTTCCTATTTTCTCCGACTTAAGACAAAATCCATCACCTACCTTAATATTCACAGGTGTTTCTAAAATTTTATAATCACGAAAGAATTTATCGTCATTTACGATGTGATCGCTACATCCGCTGTCCAATAACCATGTTATATCCGCTTTCGTTTCAGTAGCTCCTGTCATCGCTTCTACTTCTACGTTGAATCCAAATCCATCACTGGTGCTGCTACTTTGTCCTGTATTCACGCTTCTATTGTTGTATCCTCCTCTATATCCTCTGTGAGTTCCTCGTCGTCCGCCTCCATATCCGCGTCCTCTACCACGACCATGACCACGACGTGCTAACTTAGGACAATCCCTCCTGTAGTGTCCTGGGCGGTTGCATTCAAAGCAGTTATCATTATTCCTGGACCCATCTTGGTGTTGATTTGATCGAGAACTGAACGTATGAGTTTCTTGTTCGCTCTGTTTTCTTTTAATTTCAAGTAGTAATTTGGACTTCACGTACTCCACTGTCCGATCCTTTGTCGGCATCGCATCAACAATATTTACAATATGTGCAAAACTCTCAGGTAATGCAAGCAATAAATAGTTCAGTCTATCCTCTTCCGACACGACTTCTCCAGCATTTTTCAATTCATTGATTTGTTTTTCAAATGTTTGTATGAATTCTAGTATATCGTCGCCATCTTTGAATTTTGTTTCTAGTACTTTCCTTTTAATTAATAATTTATTAGCACTGCCTTTTACTAAATACATCTCGTCCAATTTTTTAATCATTTGGTAAGCCGTACTTTCATTCATTATTATATCGAGCTGAGTATTATTTACGCTATTCACTATAATATTTCTTGCCTTTAAATCAATTTTTCTCCATTCCGTGTCTGTGATACCTTCATGTTTCATATCATTTTCCACAGTTTCTTGGCATTCTTTCATTTGTAACAACAACTTTAATCTAAATTTCCATTTTTCATAATTTGCACCATCAAATATCTGAATGCCCACTTCTCCTATCTTTACTTCCATTTTCGGTACCTTACTTCTTCAATTGTTTCGGTACTGACCTTGTCAAATAATTTCCACTTATCTTCCTCTTTCTATTTATTTTATTCAACAACGCTCCTTTGCTACCATGTTGAGGAAGTGGATCGTAGAAAGGAA